ACACGCACACACACATACAAACTCACTCACACCTACACACACACCTACACACACACACCTACACCTACACACACACCTACACCTACACACACACCTACACCTACACACACACCTACACCTACACACACCTACACACACACCACACCTACACACACACCCACCTACACACACACACCCACCCACACACAACACCTACACCTACACCTACACACACACTACACACACCTACACACACACACACACCTACACAGACACACACACCACACACACACCTACACAGACACACACACACACCTACACAGACACACACACACACCTACACAGACACACACACACACCTACACAGACACACACACACCACCACAGACACACACACACCTACACAGACACACACACTACACAGACACACACACACACCTACACAGACACACACACACACACACCTACACAGACATACACACACACCTACATAGACACACACACACCTGCACAGACACACATACACACACACACTCCTACACAGATACACACACTACACAGACACACACACACACACCTACACAGACACACACACACTACAGACACACACACACAGACACACACACACTCCTACACAGATACACACACACACAGACACACACCTACACAGACACACACACCACCTACACACACACACCTACACACACACACTAAACAACACGCACACTTACCTACACACACACACTTACCTACACACACACACACTTACCTACACACACACACACTTACCTACACACACACACACACTTACCTACACACCCACACACTTACCTACACACACACACACTTACCTACACACACACACTTACCTACACACACACACACTTACCTACACACACACACACCTACACACACACACACCTACCACACACACACACCTACACACACACACACCTACACACACACACACTTACCTACACACACACACACACTTACCTACACACACACACACACTTACCTACACACACACACACACACCACACACACACACACACTTACCTACACACACACATACACCTACCTACCTACCTACCTATATACACACACCTACAACTTCACCTACTCACACCTACAACTTCACCTATTCACACCTACACACACACACACACACACACACACACCTACACACACACACACCTACACACACACACACACACCACACACACACACACACACACACACCTATACACACACACACCTATACACACACACACCACACACACACACACACACACACCTATACACACACACACACCACACACACACACACACACACCTATACACACACACACACACACCTATACACACACACACACATACACACACACCACACACACACACACCTATACACACACACACCTATACACACACACACACACCTATACACACACACACCACACACACACACACACACACACCTACACACACACACACCTATACACACACACTCACCTATACACACACACACACACACACCTATATACACACACACACACCTATACACACACACCTATATACACACACACACACACACACACCTATATACACACACACACACCTATACCACACACACACACCACACACACACACACCACACACACGCACCACACACACACACCTACACACACAACACACACAACACACACACACACACACACACACCACACACACACCACACACACACACACACACACACACACACACACACACACACACACACACACACACACACACACACACACACACCACACACACGCTTACACACACACACACCACACACACACACCTACACACACACACCTACACACACACACCTACACACACACACACCTACACACACCTACACACCATACCTACACACGCACACACCTATACACAAACAGTCATACCTACATACCCACACACACACACACACACCTACATACACACACCTACACACACACACACACACACACACACACACACACACACACACACACACACACACACACACACACACACACCTACACACCTACACACACACACGCACACACCTACACACACACACACCTACACACACACACCCACACACACACACACACCACACACACACACACACACACTACACACACACACACACCTACACACACACACACACACACACACACACACACACACACACACACACACACACACACACACACACACACCACACCACACACACCACACACACACCACACACACACACACACACACACACACACACACACACACACACACCACACACACACACCACACACACACACCACACACACCACACCACACACACACACACACCACACACACACCACACCACACACCACATACACACATACGGCTACACACACATACACGCACGCACACATGCACACATACACGCACGCACACGCATGCACACATACACGCACACATGCACACATACACGCACGCACACATATGCACACATACACGCACATACACACATGGACACACCCACTCCTACACACATACACACACGCATACACATGCACACATACACATGCACACATAGACGCGCGCACACACGCACGCACACACGCACGCACACACGCACGCACACACATGCACACGGACACACACACTCCTACACACATACACACACGCATACACATGCACACATAGACGCGCGCACACACGCACGCACACACACACGCACACACATGCACACGCACACACATGCACATGCACACTCCAACACACACACCTACACACACACACACCTACACACTCTCACACACACCTACACACTCTCACACACACCTACACACTCTCACACACCTACACACTCTCACACACACCTACACACTCTCACACACACCTACACACTCTCACACACGCCTACACTCACACACACCTACACACTCTCACACACACCTACACACTCTCACACAACACTCTCACACACATCTACACACTCTCACACACACCTACACACACTCACACACACTTACACTCACACACACTTACACACACTTACACTTACACACACTCACACACACTTACACACACTTACACACACACACACACTTAAACACACACACACTTACACACACACACACTTACACACACTTACACACACCTACAGACACACACACCTACAGACACACACACCTACAGACACACACACACCTACAGACACACACACACCTACAGACACACACACACCTACAGACACACACACACACACACACACACGCCTTCACACACACACACACGCCTTCACACACACACACACGCCTTCACACACACACACACGCCTTCACACGCCTTCACACACACACGCCTTCACACACACACGCCTTCACACACACACGCCTTCACACACACATGCCTTCACACACATGCCTTCATACACACACGCCTTCACACATACATGCCTTCATACACACAATCTACACACACACACACACACCACACACACACACACACACACACACACACACACACACACACACACACACACACACACACACACACACCTACACACACACACACACACCTACACTCGCACACACCTACACACACACACACCTACACACACACACACTACACACACACACACACACACACACACCTACACACACACACACCACACACACACACCAACCACACACACACACACCTACACACACACACACACACACACACACACACACACACACACACACACACACACACACACACACACACACACACACACATATGCACATACACACACCTACACATGCACATACACACATACACATGCACATACACACATCCACACGTCCACATATACAGACCTACACATAGTCTCTCTCTCTCTCCCTCCTCTCTCTCTCTCTCTCTCCTCTCTCTCTCTCTCTCTCTCTCTCTCTCTCTCTCTCTCTCTCTCTCTCTCTCTCTCTCTCTCTCTCTCTCTCTCTACCTCATACACACACATACACCCAGCTATATGTCTATATAACTATAAGTGCATATATCCATATACGTGTGTGTGTGTGTGTGTGTGTGTGTGTGTGTGTGTGTGTGTGTGTGTGTGTGTGTGTGTGTGTGTGAGTGTTTGTGTGTGTGTGTGTTTGTGTGTGTGTGACAGTTTATGAAGGCGAGCTTGATGCATGTAAACATGATCATGAGGAATGTTCAGAGTTGTAACAGGAAAAATATAACCCACGCTGAGTGCTGAAGAAATTGTTGGCAGACAATGCCATGTAAAGTGTAACACAAGTTAGTGCTTGTCAGTGAAAAAACAAAAAACTGATGTAACTTTTATTTTTGCTTATTGCAAAACTTTGTTTATATACTATAATGAAATACAGGCCAGGATAAGGAAACTGTGATACATGATATTTGAAGAACATTGAGGGTGGAATCATTAAGGTTGACTTGTGTACCTTGAGCTAGAGTAGGCATGTATAGTGATGTATGCGCATACAGATACATACCTACATTTCTACAATAGCAATCCTTCTGCATATGTATTTATAATTAATACATAGTATGAAATCCATATGTACTTATATAAATGTATGTGCGTTGTGTTTGCGGACATACAAGAAAGATTTAAATATGTAATAATAAGAGATATTTGCATATATACTCATTAGAATCCAATTATTTGCACTGAATTAAAACTGATTTCCCCATCATGCCGCCTCGACTAGCAGACGGCTGAACTGTGACCAACTTTTATAAGGTGGCTTAAAATTTAACTCATAAAATGGGCACAAACCACAGGGAAAGGAGCCGAGAGAATGGTGCTGCACTCCAACACCTACACCAGATCAGATACTGATCATAAAGGGGATATTCTTGACCTGTTTGGTATGTGCTGTTTCGGAGGTGATGGTGCAGTGTCTGCTGGGGATATGCGACTTTACACTGCTTGCAGAATCATCCACACACTGCAGGACTAAACAAAAATTAATACAATCCATCTATTTCAGACAAGAACACGTCGACGTTTCAACACGAGATCAGGAGCGACACAGAGCCCAGCACACCGCCAAGACGCAACGATGACGGACCCACCATGTACATGGTTATGCCTTTAACCTAGCGTCCTCCATGAGCTCGCTCCGATGAATCACTCTATCTTCAGAATGGAAGGGTTACACATTCCCTATCCAGGCAAATATCATAGGATCAATCACCCTGTGGTCACTGGGGCACAGGCCCTCATCCAGACAGCTCCAGTGTACTATGGTAACCCCCACCAGTCTATAAGAACACCAGCACCAGCTCCTGTTCAGCCTGCTGTTGCTGCCCCTACATACCAACCCATAACAGAAGACGAAAACAATATTGTTAATACTATTGAAGAAAAGCCCTACAACTGTGACCAGTGCGGCAAACAGTTCGCACAGAAAAGTCATCTCACAAGTCACATGCAGTGGCATAACCGTGAGAAAAAATTTGAGTGTGAAGTTTGCAACAAACGCTTCTCAATGGAGAGTCACTTGAATGGACACATGCTGGAACACAGCAGGGAGAAAAAGTTTGCATGCCACATGTGTGGTAAAAGGTTTGCAATGGAGAATTACCTGAACAGTCATATGCTGGTTCACATGACAGAAAAGAAGTTTGAGTGCAGAATATGTGACAAAAGATTTACCATGGAGAATCACCTTAATAGTCACATGCTTGTCCACAATACCGAAAAGAAGTTTGAGTGTGGAATATGCAGGAAGAGGTATAGCCAGAAAAGTCACCTTAACAGCCACATGCTGAAGCACAGCAAAGAGAAGAACTTTGAGTGTACAGTGTGCGGTAAGCGCTTTAACATGGAGAGTCATCTCAACAGCCACATGCTGGTGCACAGTGATGGTAAGAAGTTTGAATGTGTACTTTGTGGGAAGAGGTTCCACATGGAAATTCAGTTGAACAGCCACATGGTTGTTCACAATGAGGTGAAAAAGTTCGAGTGCCATCTGTGTGAGAAAAAGTTTAGCCTGGAGATCCACCTTAACAGTCACATGATGGTGCACAACAATGACAAGAAGTATGAGTGCCTCTTGTGTCACAAACGTTTCACTATGGAGAGCCACCTCAACAGCCACATGCTTGTGCACAATGAAAAAATCTACAAGTGTGACATATGCGGCAAACGATTTAACATGGAAAGTCACTTGAACAGCCACATCCTTGTCCACAGTGTGGAAAAGAACTTTGAGTGTGAACTGTGTGACAAGAAGTTTGCCATGGAAAATCACCTGAATAGTCACATGCTGGTACATAGTGAGGATAAAAAGTTTGAGTGTCAGTTATGCGGTAAGCGTTTTAACATGGAGTGCCACCTCACCAGCCATATGCTTGTTCACAGTGACGAGAGGAAGCACGAGTGCCAGATCTGTGGGAAGAGGTTCAACATGGAAAGTCACCTGAATAGTCACATGCTTGTACACAGTGAAAAGAAATTTGAGTGTATTTTGTGTGGGAAAAGGTTCCTCATGGAGAGCCATCTTAATGGCCACATGCTTGTCCACAATGAAAAAAAGTTCGAGTGTGGGTTGTGCGGGAAACGATTCTTGATGGAGAGTCACATGAACAGTCACATGCTCGTCCACAGCACCGACAAGGCCTATGAATGTGAAACCTGTGGCAAGAGATTCAATTTAGAGGCTCACCTCAACAGCCATATGCTTGTGCATAATGAAGAAAAGAATTTTGAATGTAGTTTGTGTGGCAAACGTTTTGGGATGGAGTGCCACCTTAACAGCCACATGCTTATCCACAATGAAAAGAAGTTTGAGTGTGAATTATGTGGAAAAAGATATAACATGGAAAGTCACCTGACAAGTCATATGATGGTGCATGGGGAGCGCAGGTTTGAATGTGAGATTTGTGGTAAGAGGTTCACTCAAGAAATGCATCTTAACAGCCACAGATTTATGCACACTGAGGAGAAAAAATATATTTGCGATCAGTGTGGGAAACGCTTTGCCCAAGAGAGCCATCTCAGGTGTCATAAATATGTTCATAGTGATGAAAAGAGGTTTGCTTGTGAAGAGTGTGGCAAGCGCTTTACACAGGAAGCTTATCTCCATAGTCACATGTTTATGCATAACAAGGTTAAGAAATTTGAGTACCAAGAATGGTCTAAACATCCTGTCAACACAAAGTTCATGCATAACGATGATAAAAGATTTGAGTGTGAGGACTGTGGAAGGCGCTTCGCTCATCAGAACCATCTAAGCAGTCACAGGTTTGTCCACAGTGAAGAAAAACGATTTGAGTGTGGTGAATGTGGCAAGCGCTTCACGCAGGAGAGCTACCTCACAAGCCATAGCTATGTGCATAGCGAGGAGAAGAAGTTCCAGTGTGGAAAGTGTGGCAAAAGATTTGCACAGGAGAGCCATTTGAACAGCCACAGTTACGTTCACATGGAGAAGAAACCTTATGAATTTGATAGCTGTGGGAAGCCCATAATCCCTGCACAAAAGGCTA